AATTGATACCCTAAAGAGTATTTACAATAAATGCAAACAAATATAAAATAATATTTTAATGTTCTGTCTCTAGGAAGTACCATTAAGCAAAATCAGGTCCATAATTAAAAAAAAAAATTCAAAATTTTTTGAGTTTTTGAAAAAGTTGAAAATTTGCCAGTAGGAGGACATGGGCTATACTGCCTTCCTCCATATTTCTTCTCTGCCTAAGAGCAACTCAAGGATCACAGTTTCAGAATTGCTCAGTTTAGTTGATTCATTGGGTTTTTAAGTTTCACAATCAACAATGAGATGCCGCTTGCATAACAACAAGCTGTTTGGAAAGGTAGCATGAAAAAGCCCTTTTTGAGAACAACCCGAAAATACAGCCCCAATAGCATCAAGAGGCATCAGCTGAACTATATTGGGAACCATGTATAATGGCGAGTTGAGGAAAAAAAATTACTTTTTGGCCAAGCACACCATTAGCCTGTAAAATGACCTCAAACATGCATCCCAATCATTAAACAAATGGTTCTGGAAACATAGTATCAGTGTTTTGCAATGGCTATCTCAGTCTCCAGATTTGAACCCATGCTTTCTAAATTTAAGATGGAAGTCTGCTTAACAAGAAATATAAAGCATCTTGAAATTATATGCATGGAGGGGGTCCAACATTGTCTCCAACTTTTTCTAGAAGTTGTTCAATGCTCTTATTCTCTGCAGGTCAGACTACTCGAGATATAGTTTCATTCTGAAACTAGTGTTTCTGCAGAATGACAAATAACTACTTAAAAAGCTTTTTGTTTGGCAAAATGGTATATTATACAGCTTCCCCATGTGCTTAATCCCAAAATATGAAGGGTGCAAATAATTCTGGACTTTTCATTTTTGTTGATTTCAGTAAATCTTCCTATGCTTTAACATTATTTCATTCTAATTTGATGTAGGATCAGCTCTTGAACAAAGGCCTGGCACATATATTGGAGAAAATTCAGCTTCATGAGGGTCAGTACTGAGATATGTAGTTGTACAGATGTGCTTAGCATACTCATCAAGCCATTTGTATATAGTTGGTCAAAGGACTGTTCTAGGTACCCACAAATATTGTATAATCTTAAATGTTGAGTATCTTCCTGGCCCATACATGCTCTAGTTTGCACAGGCTATTGTGGAGTAGTATAGCTATTGTGGAATGTGATCTGAGATTCTCTTCTTCTGTAATTTCCCTCCTAGAAGAAAACTGTCTCCAGGCTCTCTCTGAGATGTGGGTAACATTCTTCACAGAGATCCTGCCAACTCTTCAAGCCATATTCTATCCTGTGCAGGTAACTGAGTACTGTCGTTCACTATAGAATGTGGTTAGCCAGCCCTAGTCAGTAGACAATGTGGTGATTGTGTGTGTGTGCGTGTGTGTGTGCGTGTGTGTGTGTGTGTGTGTACGTGTGTGCGCATGCATGCTCACAGGGTCAGGAGCTGACTGTGAGACAGATGGCTCTGCTGGGGTTTAGGGACCAGGTCTTGTTGAAGCTTTCTCTAGAGAACATGCTGCATACCTCCTCATACCCTCCTGCCATAGTACAGATGCTGCTCATACTGCAGGTGGGAATTTTATTATACTGCTCCTGACTTTGTTTAAAGACATTACCATTTCACTTTTCTGCAGAATATCTCTATGAAGGTAGCCCAGTGTTTCATTTACATTTATTTACATAAACCATCATGGTACAAATGCCACAAACACACTGACCAGATATTAAAAGATAAATGTCTTCGCACATATTTATGCACACACATTGCACAAGTTCACAATGTACCACTCAGTTGCTTTATTTATCACCTTTTTAAACAAGTTCACAGCCACTAGAGCTGCATATTTAATGTCTGTAGGGTTTTTTTTTTAACACAGGGCATTCATGAGCCTAGTGGGCCTAGTAAAGAATACTACCTTCTAGAGCGACTAGTGGATATGGTGATTTCACCTTACCTGAGTAACTACATCTACATGAGCCACAGGGACTCCACTTCAGGTAAGATCTTACTTTAGACCACATTACACCTGGCCACGTTACACCTCCGATGTCAAGTAGGCAGGACCAAAAAAAAAAATCTGTTTAATAAACCAATAATGCATCAACAACTTCTCTTAAAAGTGTTCAAGTATATTCTGAATGCACAAATGAATTTAACATACATACATAACCTGCAAAACAAATGAACAGACTGCAATTCATTACCAAAAAAAATCAAACTTATGGTTTTACTCAACTGAGATTATATTGCATGAATCCAAACAAAATAGCCCATAGTATTGAAGTGGGGGGGAAGTCAATATAGTTTGCAAATTACTTACAAATAAAAAAATGTGATTGCATAAGTATTCACTCCCATTGCTGTGAAACTGCTAAATTAGTTCCTATGGAAAGAGACATGGTTCTAATGAAAAATGTTAGCTTGCTAATGAAGAATTATATATAGTATAATTAGCACATTTTATCAGTAGCATAAAGCCCTTAGTTTATTGCTCTATTTTATCTTTTTTAATCTTTCAATTCAATTATGGTCCACAAGACAATTTTAATTTAGAACACTAATTCATTTGGTGGGCTAGAATAGAACCTTTATCGGGCCAGTCCTAGCCTGTGGACTGTATGTATGTTTGACACCCCTGCTTTAGACTATCACTATCACTTGTCACATTCATACTAAGATGTAATATAACCAGTCCTTTCTACTCTTGCACCAGGGTGTCATTTGGAAAACTCCAGTTTGGAGCCTGCACCTCACTTTGGCCAGCCAGAGATCACAATCACACACTTTGCTGCAGAATCGTTGCTGACGCCTCTTGTGGAGCAGGAAGGCGAGGCATATCTGGAGAGGACTGGTGGAATACGGCGCCACACAGTCGCCAATGTTCATTCAGACATCCAGCTTCTCTCCATGACAAACAGAACTGATGGTGGTGATAATGGCCAGGTGACAAAAGCAAAGAGAACTGCTTCTCCCAGGCCTTTCTCCAGTCAACTGGTAATCCTGGACTCTCAGTCAACTACCACAAAATCATAAATATGCCAGAACACTGCAGAGATGAGCTGAAAACTGTTTGCTGATGGATTATGGAGTATGCTTTTGAGCAAAAGCCGATACTGTCTACTGATTACTCACAGTATGAGCACTAAGAGGCAGTGCATGACAAAAGTCAACATGTTGCAGTCTGGACAAGTAAGAATCATAATTTACCCCAACCCTACAACTATTGTTAGTTCAGGTATTTACATTAAATACATTAGTGGAATCATATGGATTATCACAGCAGTTGAAGTGCAGTATGGGCCAATCTGACTATGTAGGCGGATGCTTACATAGAAACTACATTATTATTTGGTTGAACGTTAAAAGCATGAGGGAGAGGAGTTTAAAAAAAAAAACTATAATTAGCTGAGTCGTGTCCTGTTCTGTGCTCTACGAGGCATGCTCTTTTTCTGCTGTAGAAGTGGCAAAGCTATGTGGAATTTCACCTCTGCTGAGCTAACACTGTTTACACAGATGCAGTATAAGGCAAAATCTTTCTGAGCTTTCAGCTGTTTGGGATTATGGACTTGATTACACTGTGTGACACTTATGAGCCTTTTTAGTACTGTATAGTTTGTTTGTAGTGGAGTTGTAGTGGAGTACAGGTCTACAGAGTAATTTATTTCATGAAATATTTTAGAGTCTTAATTATAATTTCAATTTGAATGTTAAGACAAATATTGTGTGCATCAATGTGCAGTGTTGTATACATTTGTAGTAATAAAGTGTTACTTTGTGTAAATTTTGTATTCTAGGTTGGGTAGTCACTGTACTTTTTATTGATGCAATCATTACTGCATGTCCAAGGCACCTTCAACACACATCAACTTTCTGTACATAGCAGTGTATTATGGTTCCAATCCAATGGGACACTCACAAGTAGGGTTGTTTCCTTTAGGACTAAAATCAACCCTTAATCAGTGTAGTCTTCTTAGAATAGAAAAGCAGTTAAGGAGCTTTAGTGGCCTTATTTGAATGCTGAGCCTTGCAGAGAAAATCTTTGTGTGGGAGTGTTGCAGAGTGTGACCCTGTTGAGGAGCGTGAAGGTGACACTTAAGAAGCGTATGACCACACATAAGAGTACTAGTGGTTTATTTAGTTCTGTGTACTAACTATCGGAAAGTTTTCTTTTTATTTATGTCATGTCACTCATACACTTATATTTTACAAGCTTTACAATTCAATTAAAAATCAGGGGGAACAAATACCACTATCCAGTGTCTTCTGGGTGACAGCAGATAGTGGGATTTTGATCAGTCATACAATGAAAAAGCAAAAAGTACAAAATGTGTTAAAAATGATTGTGAATAGAAGTCTTGAGATGAGCAGATGTTCCAGGGTCTGGGAGCCACAGCACTGGAACCCTCCTGTACCAAGGGATCTGAGTGTGTGCTGGAGTGTAAGGATGGAAAAGCTCTGTGAGAGATCATGCAGGGCTTTGAACGTAATCAGCAGAAGTTTGGCTTTACTCAGGAAGAGATAGGAAGCCAGTGTAAAAGTATAGGGGTATGCGTGCATAGCACTCAGTGTGTGTCAGGACTCTGGCAACTGAATTCTGAATATACTGAAGAATATTAAGGGTTTTACCAGAGATACTGATTAAATGAGAATTGTGCCAGTTTCCACATCTCACAAACAGAGTAAAAACCAAAGTCAGCAAGGTTGTGTACCTGAAAAGGAGCAGTTTATATGAACAACTTAATTCTTAGTTCTGGGGCCTATTCAAACCGGGATTTTACCAGGAACATCTTAACTCTTGATATTCTGTAACCCACCAAACTGTAAATATTTCTCAAACTTCCACTTAAAATCCCCCAAAATGCCCAAGCTCAACAAGCATGTACATTCTGAGAGGACACTTATTATTCAGTCAGGAAATGTGCAGTTCTTGTTGAGTCAGGTCGAAAGAATTCTAAAGGTTGTAAACTAAAATCTAGCAGCACAGCAAGGGTGTGATAGCTCAGTGGTTAAGCTGGCAGACTATTGATTAGAAGGTTTTGAGTTCAAATCCCAGCACCACCAAGCTGCCACTGCTGGGCCCCTGAGCAAGGCCCTTAACCCTCAACTGCTCAGTTGTATAACTGAGATAAATGTATGGTACTCTATATAAGGGTGTCTGCCAAAAGCTGCAAATGTCTATTTTCTAGCAGCAAACCTTCAACTAGTAGACTTCATTCCTAAATATATCTGATTTCTTTTTTAATGAACAGTGGTACATACTGTATACAGCTTGTGTCAGGATAAGCTCCTTAGCACCATACAATCCAAAACAATACAGATCTAAGAACATAATAACAGTACTGACAGGGGAACACACACACACACACACACACACACACACACACACACACTATAAAACAAGAACCGCGTGAGGCGGCATTACCGGTTTATGGACCCACGCTAGATGGCGTCGTGCACGCAGTTGTGTGTAAATCCCGCTCCGTGCCACAAGGGGGCAGTGTAACAGCAGCAGCTGTCCGTGCAGGCACTCGGGGAAACCAGCGTCACAGAGAAAGTTGATGTCTTCCCCGCGCGTCAGAAAAGCAGCGACGGTTTAGCGCACGAGCTGTAAGCTAGCGCGCGAGCGGAAGCGTTTAGCTTCGTATTCGACCGAAAAAGTCTGATGGTGCGATATTTTCAGACGACCTAGACCAGCTTGCGCTAATAGGGAGGGGTTTTAAGGGGAAAAAGCAGGTGTTTACTGTCTATTCCTCGCGGATTCATTGAGGCAGATGGCGGCCACAGTGGAGGAGCTGTACCGTAACTACGGCATTCTTGCCGACGCCAAGGAGGACCTCAGCCAGGTTTGTGTTCCTCCAGCGGTCATAACAAGCACCATTTTCACAAGCAATACATCTCTACTGCAGTATAACACACTCGACTAGCTTACTGATGAATTAATTTACTCTATCTGTCTATCTTATCCTACAGAAAGACGTATACGGCCTACAAAAGTCAGCTAAGCTAACTTAGCTAAGCTAACGCTAACCTAACCTGAGTTAGCATTCATGTAGCTAACAGAGTACAGTGGCACTATATACTGTTTATAAACGTGCACTACAGGGTGGGAATGGCTTCTACAGTCTGTAGTGTAATATATATCCTGTAGCATTTAGAGATTGAGCTCAGGTGACTGATCTGAGCTAGTTTTAGCCCTGTATAGCTGTAGAGTACAGTGGTGAAGGGTGATCAGCTACTGTCACATTTATCCAAATGATAGCTTTATAACATGATTAAAAGTGATCAGTTCTGTGTGGGGATTAAAGACATGCTCAAACTATTTATACACGCACAAATACCCCAGCTAAAAGTTGTCAGGAGGCGAGTTGTTTCATGTTTGTGTTTGGTTTAGTAAGTATAGAAATGAGTAGCATGCATTTAGTAATACATTTCATGTACAAGTCACAATCCTAGTTCATTCATTCATCTTCAGTAACTCCTTTAACTCTGGTCCCGGTGGCTTTGGATCTAGAGGCTATCCTGGGAAAACTGGGTGTAAGGCATGTAAAAACCCAGGATGGGTCACCAGTCCATCACAGGACACCATGCACACTCACATTCAAACATACGGCAGTTCTAATGTAGCCAATCCGACTATCGGCATGTTTATGGGAGGTAGGAGGAAACCGGAGAACCTAGATGAAACCCACTGGGAGAACATGCACAGAAACTCCACACAGACAGTAACCAAATCTCAGAATTGAACCAGGAACGCTGGCGCTGTGAGATAGCAACGCTACCCTCTGCGTTGTTGTGCCGACCAAAATGTTAGTTATGTAACTTAAATAAATGTATTTAATTATGTTTCAGCATAAAGATGCCTACCAGGTTATTTTGGATGGTGTGAAAGGAGGCCCAAAGGAGAAACGTTTGGCTGCACAGTTCATTCCAAAGTTCTTCAGCAGTTTTCCAGACCTGGCAGATGCAGCAATTAACGCACAGCTGGATTTGTGCGAAGATGAAGATGTATCGGTAATATCATGTCTCTCTAGGCCCAATTTACACGAAAGAGAGAAATCTCCAGTTGTTGTCATCAGCACATCAATACTTAGCTGTTGTATTTTGTCTTTTGTAGATTCGCCGGCAGGCCATCAAAGAGCTTCCACGCTTTGCAGCTGGAGAGAATTTACCCAGAGTAGCAGACATCCTCACACAACTACTGCAGACAGGTATTTGTAAGGTGTTAGAGGAATGGTACAATTTATTTACAACATTAGTACAAAATCTGTTTTAAAATATTTATAGAAAGTGCCCATCAAGATCGCAACATAGCTAAAATCATATTTTCAATATTTCAAATGTTAACGGTAATGTAATTTTTCTACAGCCTTAAGTTGACATAATTTGGATCTTTTTTAACATTCATCTAAACTGCAAAAGAAACAAATCAGACAATAAAATTATAAAAGATATTCTGTGCTACAAACCAGTCTGTCAGCAATATAAACATAATTTTGTGTGTGTGTCGTATGAATTGTTCCAAACTAATTACACATGTGCAAGCACATGTCTCTTTTCTTGACTACCTTTTTGTAGTTTTGTTGTGTGGAATTGAGACACCCACTCAGTTTTGCCATACGATGGCTGAATGATGTCTTTGGGCTGCATGGTTAAAGGGGCATAATCAGTCATTAGGGGGCCAGGAACTTCATTCTCCTGTAGCTGCTGAATGCTGCATTGTGCATGTGAAAAGAATTACTGCCACCAGCAGCAGGCTTGTGCAGCAGTTTTACGGACAGTACAGCGAACACTTAAGAAGCCTTATAGATGTGTACTTGCACATTTGTGTCGATGGCCGCTTTATCAGTGCCGCTTGAGAAACTGATGGGTGTCATTGAGATAGGTGCATGAGTATATCACTCTTTTATGATAAGCTCCTGATTTTATCATGACTAGGAATGATTTCTGTTGTATGCAACTGACTTGAATGGGGGTGTGCTAAACCACTGCGGTTTAGACCAAGCGTGGAATGACTGTTTGCATTCTATAATCTGATTGACACCTTAACAATATGACATAGAGGTCATGTTGTATTGTGATCTATTTGTTTGCAATTTTGATGATGAGCTTTTTCTCCCCGCTTCCAGACGATGCAGCAGAATTCAACCAAGTAAACAGTTCCCTGATTTCCATATTCAAAATCGATGCCAGAGGTATTGCCTTTTCCTAATTTTTCTTTCAGTGTTGATGGAACTCTGTTTGCGGGTTGTGAAAGCTTGGTTAAATTTAAATTCATAAATAAAAACATAAATATGTGACTAGTTGGTATGTATTTGTGTGTGTGTGTGTGTGTGTTGTTGTTTTCTTCTATTGGTATTTTGTGAAATAGTTCAGTGTGCCAACTTTTCCCTAATCATTGTTTCTAAGGGACGCTTGGAGGTCTTTTCAGCCAAATACTACAGGGGGAGGATGTTGTACGAGAAAGAGCAATTAAGTTCCTCTCCGCCAAATTGAAGACAATGCCAGAAGAAACTCTGACCAAGGAAGTCGAGGACTACATTCTCACAGAGACAAAAAAGGTAGAATAAATTGGTTGAAGTTTAAATGTCTTGTCTTCAAATAATAGTTCCAGAGTTGGATTGAGGTGGGTGCTTGTGTTCTTGGGGCCTTTATGCGTCAGCTAGAAGCTGAAAAATTATCACCCAGTTCTCAACTATGGCAGGCTTGCCTACCTTCATGCATTTTGCATTGAGCTCCATGTTTTAACATTGGGGTACACTAGTACAAATTATAACTCGAAAATATGCAGCTAGAGTGGTCTTCTTTTTCCCCCAATAAAAACAGCAGATGAGCCAATCGAAATGTTAATGTTGAATGAGTGACAATTGCATAGCTGTTTTGGGCTCTTTGAAGTTTAAGGCTCTTGTCTCACATTAGTAATCTTTTGGTCAGTGCTTTCATCTCAGCTCTGGTTTCTATGTTTGTGCCTCCACCAATAAGTTTTCGGGTTGTCTGTCCATCTGTGCACCCAAGATTCTTGTTAGCGTGATATCTCAAGAACGAGTGGTTGAATGTTTGGTGGATTAATATGGAATTAACCAACAAGTGAACTGACGACATTTCTGAATTGATTCAAACAGGGTCAAGGTGACAGCAAGGTCAAATGCCTTAAATAGTTTTTCTTAAACAGCTTCCTTCCTGTTTGTCATACAGAGATGTTACTTTCATGTTTTTAGAAATTATTGGAAATTTATTAATCAAATACTGAAATATTTAGATAGGTATTCAGATCCTTGCTTAAGGCACTCCAAACTGAAATCAACTGCATCCTGTTTGCTTTGACTATCCTGAGATGTCTCTAGAACTTGAATTAGAGTCCACCTGTCAGAAATGCAATTAAATGATTAGATATGATCTAGAAAGGCACACACAAATGTGTATAAGGACAAAAAAACAAGCCATGAGGTCCATGGAACTCTCCATAGACCTCTGCAATCAATTTGTGTCAAGATCAGAACAAGCATATAAAACTGTTTCTAAACCTTTGAATGTTCACAGCACAGTGGGCTCCATCATCATGAAACAGAAGAAGTTTGGAACTACCAAACAACTTCTTAGAGCTGGCTGTCCAGCCAAACTCAGAAGGGCCTTGGTCAGGAACAAGAACCTAGTGGTCACTCTAACAGTACTTCAGAAGTTATACAGATATACACAGATATAGGAGAACTTGCCAAAAGGACAATCAGCTCAGAAATACTCCTTCAGGCCTTTAGGGTAGAGTGGCCAAATGGAAGCCACTTCTGAGATTCATGTATATGGCAGGCACTTTAAGGACTTCAGGAGCATGAGGAAAAAGATTCTGTGATCTGATCAGGCAAAAATGTAACCTTTTGGGCTGAACTCCACACTCTACGTTTGGTGGAAAGCAGGTATTGCTCATCACCTCTTTAATACCATCTTCACAGTGAAGCATGGTAGTGGCAGCATCATGCTGTGGTGGTAGTTTTGCGCAACTTTCAGTTATTCATTAATTACAGTGAAACTAACAGGAAATTAATGAAGTTATGTGAATGAGGAGTGCA